ACAACAAAATGAGCGTCAATTTATAAAATCAGATTTATAAAATCACACAATGACGACCTCACCCCTTCTTGTCGTCTTCTACCTGGACCCCCACAGAGTGGTACTCTGGCGAGCTCTTGCTCTCGGACTCCGAGTCAGTGGCTGCCTCCACCTGGTACACACAAATGATACAAACCAACAGTGCGTCTCATTATGTGAGCCGTGCCCTCCCCAACCCCCACCCCCCCCCCCCCCCACCCACAGTGACTGACTTTATTGGTTTGGGAGCAGACGCTGCAGCGTAACTGTACAGGCCTGTCAGGACGTAAACACTCTGTGATTTATGGAGGCCGCACAGGCAACAGGAAGAGGTTCACCGTGGAGGATTTAACGCTGATGATTATTAAAAATAAATAAACAAAATAAATGAAAGGAAGTTATAGGGACTGAGTCACTGTGGGATGTGGAGAATATATACAAAGTATATATTTTATGAATGTTTGAATACCACCGACACTTTTGTAGCTGTATACTTTCCAGGCCTCCGGTGGTAAAAAAAATATGACTGATTAAACTACCATATTAAAGAAGCAGAGGGCACGAGTTAAAGCCCCCACAGGGGGGCAGCACCGGCTTGGCAGATATGGAATTTTATTAGTAATAAGTAATTAAAAAGATTAATAGTATTGTGTAATGTAATTTAAGATTGTATATAATAGATGTGTAGTACACACTTTCTAAGTATATGTACAAAAATATGGAGTAATATGGGGTATTTTCTGGTCCCTGCAGGAAAAGATGTTTCTTTAACATTAACATTAACAAATATAGAGTGAGATGTTTACTTAAGTCAATGATGTAAAAAAATATATATATAATACATATATGTGTATACGTATATATGTACTGTAAACATATATATACATATATGTATGTATGTATATACATATGTATATATACATATATGTACATATATACATATATGTATATATGTATGTATATACATTCATATATATGTATATATATATACACATATATATGTATATATACATATATGTACATATATGTATATATACATATGTATATACATACATACATATATGTATATATATGTTTACAGTACATATATACGTATACACATATATGTATTATATATATATTTTTTTACATCATTGACTTAAGTAAACATCTCACTCTAT